AACAATCTGAACAAAACCAGTACGCTCAAACCTTCGGTCACGATGACTTGTGACTTCGTACTAACACAACTATCGACGGCCCCAAGTGTTCCGTCTACCCAATTTTACTCACAAGGCTTGGGTCAACCCGTGGTCTGGTTTTCAGGCACTTTCCAAAGGTGCCACACGCTAGGATCGTCCACCCTCCAGACCGATAATATCAGGAAGTCTCCTTCCTGACAAATCGACCATGGTGAGATTCGAACCCGTGTCTGATGGTCAGAAAGCGAAGATTCTAACCACTCGGCCGGAAACCATATTTTCTTTTTGATGATTTCTCGAATATGCAGGCCGATAGACGTAATGCACACACTTTTTCAAAAAAGTAAAAATAAAAATATCACTTTTTTTTTTTCAAATACGAGTATATCTGTTGAAGTAATAAAAATATCGTGTTAGAAATAAATCCATTAATACTTTAAAAATTGCTTTGTTTACGTTTCGGACACGAAACTGAACAGATAGGATCGTTAAGGATAAAATATCTGAATGAGGAAGTGTGCTTTTCTTAAAAGGGAAAACAGGGCCTTGCTGAACTACGACACCTCTGTCGCCGAGTAATAAATCACGCCCAATCATAAGGTAGGTTTTTCTACTAAAAAGGACGTGAGTTCGATCCCTGCCGGAAAGCACATTTTCTTGATTAAGATTTCTCAAATTGCGCAAGTCGATACACGTAATATACTGGACTCTCCCGTCGTTTTCGACGCATGAGGGTCAAGCAGTTTAGTTCAGGACCAACATCCAAACTACACGCACATTTCATTTGATTATAGTGATGAAGACGTGTGAAGAACTTTTTGGAAGAGCCGAATACAGATTATATAGGTGCACAGTATGGCACCAAAATGACCCTCCGTAGGCTTTGAATTCAGAGTTGTCCCTCACCTAGACCGTTCCCAGCCCAAGACTGTAGGGCACAGTCTGCCCTGCTATTTACCCTAGATTGAAGAAGAGATGGATTCCTGTTAGTATCTATGCGAATGACTGGAATTCGAACATGGCTCTGCAAGTCCCTATTCCGATTCCATTACCCTATTACGGGTCTTCACGTAATATACACCGTTATATATATATATATATATATATATATGTAATGTATATATATATATATATATATATATATATATATATATATATATATATATAAAAATTATATATATATATATACATACTTATATATATATATATATATATATATATATATATATATATTTATATAGGTAATGTGAATGTAGCTATATATCATAGCTAAGGTTATATCTTAGTGTGCGCTTGCGTGCGCTCTTTTATGCGTGTGGCTGTGGGGTGGCGGTGGAGGTGGGTTTGGGTATCCAGAAGGGCGTGAATGGCAACAAGAAACTAACTTGGGCAAAAACAAAAGTTCAAAATGCTTCCCGTTTTGGTTTCTGGTATTTGCCTTAACCACGTGACATTTGATTTGGCGCGATCCTTAGCGGAAAGTCACGTGACCAATGACCAAATCAGTACAAGCGGAGATGCAGTCAAAGAGGACACCACAACTCTTACGCTAATCTAGATGTCACTATTCCCCGCGCTGACTCGTGTGTGTGTGTGTGTGTGTGTGTGTGTGTGTGTGTGTGTGTGTGTGTGTGTGTGTGTGTGTGTGTGTTCTTATCCATCTATGCCGTATTAAACGCATCTAAGTATTTCCACAAATGTGGGGTCGTATACAAGCATTTGTGTATATATTTGTACCGGTATACATGTCTGTATATGAGTGTTGTTTATGTGGGGGTGTGCTGTGAAGTGCAGGGTGTTCCGAAAGATACTATGCACTTATATTTTTTATTAAGAGTCATTATTAACACCTTCTCGAAATACGTTTCCAACGAGAAATATACACGTAGTTAAAACTATATTGCAGTGAAAAATCATAAGAAAAATGCACAGTAGGTTTCCGAACACCCTGTGCAATGAAAATAGTGGAACAAGTAAAATTTCAACGGTAGTCACAAACTATTATTCCCTGTAAGTCCATATTTATCCATGGAATATATATATATATATATATATATATATATATATATATATATATATATATATATATATATATATATATATATATATTTTTGTTTGTTTTTTATTAATAAGGCTTCCATTATTTTTAGCCTTTTTTGCATGTAGATGATGCTATTATATTAGTGTTGTCAACAAGTATGTTACGAATAGTGTCCGGTAGGTCTACATGAATATTTAAATGAAATTATATATATATATATATATATATATATATATATATGTATGTATGTGTGTGTGTGTGTGTGTGTGTGTGTGTGTGTGTGTATAGGGTAGCAATAAAGTCACTATACAATCCATTCAAGCCCAGAAATTTATTATTAAAGTGGTTTTGGTTAATAACAATAAAAATAAAAATAAACAATAGTAAATTAAATACCGATACTGTTTGAACTGTAAATCACTTGCTTCGATGCTTTGCTTTTTATTGTAAATAACTGTATAGTGGATTTATTGCCACCCTCTGTATATATATATATATATATATATATATATATATATATATATATATATATATATATATATATATGTTAGGATCAAATATAGATCAAATAAAGAACAAATAGGAAACGTTTATCAATCTCAGATGTTTCCTTTTTATTGAAGCTTCGACAGAGACTGAGATATGGAGAAAAAGAAGGAAATTCTTGTATTTTTACTTTTGCGTTGTTTGATTTTCATTGGTCGATCATGTATCGCGTGCATTCGACTCTCTTAAACCAACGTTAATATAATTTGCGGCGTTCCAAATTCAATCGGAGATGACGGGTCCATCCGAATATTCAAGTAACGTACTCAAAGTCTACCCGGAAAAACCGTAAATATTGCTATGTCTATGTAAGGATATAACAATTCTAGTTTTTCTATGTTGGCATCAGATATGTATTCGTAATCGTGTGTGTGTGTGTGTGTGTGAGAGAGAGAGCGAGAGAGAGAGAGAGAGTGCGTAATAGATACTTGCTGGTTATTCATATGTTGATTTGTGAATGTCTTTACGTACAAACCGTTTGTTTTTATAAACATACGTTAGTTTCTTTAAGAAAGGATTCAATGAAGGTTGGCGATGTAAAATAATGTTTTTGACGTTTGTTTATAGTTAGTAATATTATTATTATGATCTCAAAGAATTTTCTCCTTAAAGAATTATGTTCTCTTTTGAATTAGGGCGGGATTAGTAAAGACAATGTTATGGCCAGTTTTGTTTTACAAGAGAGTTTGAATGGTAGTCTGAAAGTAAATATCTTCTGTGCTCGTAGATACGGTGATTTAGATCTCGTAATGTCTCCCCTACACACACATTTTCACATTGTAAACAATTTATTTGATAAATACTGGCATTTGAATTAGTGTTGGATTTAATTTTCTTCCGAATTATATCCTCGATTGTCTTGGACGTGGTGGTCAAGATCCTAGTATTAGGAATAACTATTTTATTTTCAAATTTAGGAGAAAGATTGTTAGAGGCAGGATTATGAATTTTGTGCTGTTTTTGTTAGAAGTGCTATTATTGGTGTCTAGTTTTTGTTTTTATGGATTTTGTAAGCTTGTTCTCTAGCGTTGAGGATGAGATGATGTGGTATTCTGGTGTATATATCCTAAGGACTCTTAGGGAGACAAATCCTGATTTTATTCTTTGATTGCGGTGCTAATAAAAATCAATTGGATCGTTTTTGTTGGATTCTATCAATAAGAATATTATTTTAGTTGAAGGACGAAATGTGGAGTTACATATAATCTTTTTTTATATTTTGTCATTCAGTTAACCAGCATGCCTATCTATCTATCTATCTATCTATCTATCTATCTATCTATCTATGTCTGTTTATATATATATATATATATATATATATATATATATATATATATATATATATATATATATATATTAGTGAATATACATAATATCCAACGTCGATAGAGATAACACATATATATATATATATATATATATATATATATAGATAGATAGATAGATAGATAGATAGATAATATTAGTGGAAAATATACATACATATGCAAAATATATAAATACCCATTTTGTAGGTCTGATGAATTGGATCGTATTTACGATTCCAATGGAATAAATTATGACCATGGAATATTAGTGTTTAAGCCTTTTATTATATATATATATATATAATCTCTATCTATCTATCTTAGTTTTTTCATATCGATCTATCTCACTTTCTTCATATATATATATATATATATATATATATATATATACATATATATATATATATATATATATATATATATATATATACATATATATATATATATATATATATATATATACAGATCTGCTCGTGTCTATCTATCGATCTATCTCAGTTTATTCATGTCTATCTATCAATCTATCTACCTCTCCAAGTTTGTTCACATATTTATCGATCTATCTATCTATCACTTTCCTTATATCTATCTCAGTCTGGTCAAATCTGCCTATTTATCTATCTATCAATCGATCTCACTTTATTCGTATCTATCAATCTATCTACCTTTCAAAGTTTGTTTACATCTATCTATCTATCTATCTCACTTTCTTTATATCTATCTCAGTCTGCTCATATCTGTCTATCGATCTATCTCAGTTTATTTATATCTATCAATCTATCTACCTCTCAAAGTTTGTTAACATCTATCTATCTCACTTTCTTTATATCTATCTCAGTCTGCTTATATCTATCTATCTATCTATCGATCTATCTCAGTTTATTCATATCTATCTATCGATCTGTACACCTCTCCAAGTTTGTTCACATCTATCCCTCTCACTTTCCTTATATCTATCTCAGTCTGGACATATCTATCTATCTATCGATCGATCTATCTATCTCAGTTTATTCATATCTATCTATCGATCTAATTCTCTACCTCTCCAAGTTTGTTCACATCTATCTATTTATCTATCTATTTAGCTATCTTGTTTGTCTCTCACAGTCCTTTTATGTCTTTCTACCTTAGTCTTTTCATAAATATGTATGAACAATATGAGCTAGAAATTTCTTGGTTCACCAAGAAGACCTTCAAATGTCTTATTTAATTCTCAATGTGGCATATATATTTCCCAGTTCTTTCACTGGGTGTCCCATACTTTCAGTCTTGTGCTGCATCTAAAATCACTATATATTCTTCTAATTCTTAGTTACTCATTTCTTTTTATACTTATATCCATACTGACTCGAATCAGTCTTCTTCCAAGTCCCCGTCTTCCGAATCCCGATTTAGCTTTACTTAGCAAGTCTTGAAGTGTGGCCAAACGAATTATTAGTATTATCACCTGAGGTTCCACGTGGAAGCTTTTGCAATCTTTGTAGTAACTTGATGAAAAATTAACATCTGTATAGCGGAGAGACGTCTCTCGTACTTGGGAGGTGAATATACATAAAAACCGTCGGACCGGTTTCGATTCCGATCGCATGAACACTTTTTGTAGATTGTCTGTATTTGGTAGTGAGATAAAACGCAAAAAATCGTGTACGTTGGGTTTGCTGCAATTTTATTACGTCTCTTTCAGATAACAACATTTTTAAAATTACTCATATATATATATATATATATATATATATATATATATATAAAAATTTAAAAATAAGTTATTCCAAAATTCGCTTGAAGATGAAACAGAACTAATGCTTTTAATTTAATTATATAATTAAATTTGAAGTTTTTAGCTTCGGTTTTTGAAACATGGTAATTCCTGTGTAGCGAAGTGACCATATTTTTAAACCAGTTAATTTATAATATTTATGCTCTGTAAATTTACATTGAGCACTGTTTTATAAAAATAAAAAATATCAATAAGAACACCGGATTATATATCTTACTGTTCTTCCCAAGATGGAACAGTGAAAGGTACTTTAACACAATGCTAACAAGTTATATGCTCGTTCAGTTTCTTACATTTTTCTAGTTGATAAATAAAAGACCCCTTTAAGAAACTGGCAAACAACTTAACCGTTCAAAAAACAGATAAAAATACAGAACTATTTTGACAAACTAATATGCAACTGTTAAATAAAGAGCATCCATATAATATATTACCAATGTTAGATGTTAATAATACCAACCAAACACCTGTACATCCATATAAGATGTTAATAAAACTAACCAAGCATCAATACAAAGCGATATTAAATCAAAATGAATCATACAAATAGAATAGTAAGCCATATAAGGTTCACAACAAAAGAAGTGAATTGATTGTAAATTGTAGGCATAGCCTGCCTTTTACCTTACAATATGTTTAAACTTTGAATTTGATAATACTTTTACTTATTGTAATAATCAGTAGATTAACTGTTGTGCAAAGCCCACAAATCTATTCTTAAAGTATTCTGCATTTACAAATTAAATTAATCTTTCACTCGCCAGCTGACCTGCATACTCGAGAAAATTCATTAAAGAAAATGTGACCACCGGCAGGAGAAACCACTATCTGATCCGGTGTGCATTAACCGCTCAGCTACGAAGAGCTTCACAGTCATGCATGATTCTGTTTGTCTTTAAAGAGCACTCGAAAGGCACCATGCTCTGTTTCACATACGAAAAGTAAACAAAGCAATTTCTAAAGACTTAATGGATTTTGTTTATATATTCTGTAAATTTACATGTGTATACATTAAATCACACAAGCACACGTACGTCGCTCACGCACAACACAGGTAGGCGCATATATTTTAAATACGTGCATGTGAAGCCACACAGAGGCAGTGCGTGACGTCCAGAGAATCAGTCTTTCTTTTATAATATAGATTGATGGTTCATATATATCTAGCTATCTCAATATGTTCATATCTCTTCGTGTTTTAGTATGGAATAGCGTTTTTTTTATTTGAGTTCTGAAAACTGAGCTGAGTGGACAAAACTGGCTGATAATTGTTTACAATCTGCGACGTAAATCCTGTTACTTCAATCTCTGGATATTTTCCATAACTGGTCAATGTGGGTACTTCGAGCAATGGTGAGCAAGCTTGTCTCGCTAGAACAATTACGAGTAGTGGGTTCGATCCTCACTTGGTGCCCCGTACTTTCAAATTTGTGCTACATCTAAACGACGCATAGAAAATCACCATAACTGGTCAATATGCCCAAATCTTCTCCCTACATATTTGGCTTAATTATGTGCTCAAATGTTCTTTATGGGGTTTCTCTAGCAACCGACCAGACCAAAATCTCACGAAAAGAAGACTGCCGCTCAAGCTATGATATTTTTGCTTCTGCCACAAGAGCTAGAACGTTATCTCTTTGGAAATGGTTTTATATTTCCACGGGACAGTTCTTCTAGGGTTGGAAGTAATCATTTGTATATTTTCGTATTATTTCGCATTGATGGACTTTTTTCTTTCTTTTTTTTTTACCATTTCGCCTTAGGCAAGGCAATGAAGCCACTACGACACAAGGGGGTTACTGAGCGTGAAAAACTATAAGAAAAAGAAAAACTTTATTAAGTAACGGGAACTCTGAAGACGGGAGATAACGATTAACATTGAATTTAAATTTTTGAAAATCCAACTTATCTGGAAAACAAGAAATCAGAAGTGAGTTCCACAAGTGAAAAGTGCGAGAAAAGAAACTGTTAGCAGAGAACTTATGGTTGCATCTAACCATTCCAACTGTAAAAGGATGACACTGAGATGCCAATCTAGTAATGCTATTCATAATTCATAAAGTTTAAGTACCTTAGAGGAAAACTCATCAGAAGAATTACCATGATAATATTTATAGAAAAAGACACAGGGAAGCTATTTTTCGGGGGTTGGAAAGTGAATGAAATCAAGATACCCGGTCGGGATCAGTAACATTTCAGATTCTTCTTTGGATTTTATCAGGAATCTCTAAATCTATAGCAAGAGCACCAGACCATATACGGCAACAGTATTCAAAGATGATGAGATGAATAGCAGATTTATAAATATAGATAGATATGTAGGCAGAGAGAACCAACATTTCTCGCTGCATTACTAGCAACTGATTCAATATAATCTTTCCGCTTCATGACAGCGGAAAACGTAAACCTGTAAAAGCGCAACGAGTCATTGTCCTGGAGGCTATCATCATGATGATTAATAGAGAGCACTTTCGTCTTGGATACGTTACAGTTAACAAGTAACAGTTCGCCAACTATTGATGCAGAAAATACTCTCATACAAGAATCCTACATGCACCATGCTTTGACAGACAGATATTCTGGTTCCAATCTTTCACCTTATGTGCGTTCTGCAATAACTCAAACTATTAAATATCATGGTAACAATATAGGGATTTACTGTTCCGTTCTTTCTGGATAGTAATGGTTTCTTTGTCCATCCTTTGATTTAAAGAATACATCGTTTTGCAAATTAGTCGAAACAACCGCTTTAATTTCCTTTCTTTCACCATACGTTCAGTTTTAGATCCATTGGAGTGACAGAATGTAATCGATTTCTTTTTTCTTTTTTTTTTTCTTTTTTTTTGTTGTTGCTCAGATTAGGTCATTTGCAGTGGTGTGCAGTAATATTGTTTGGCCTTGAAAAATATTGCGCCATCTGTGATTGCATCAGATTTTTATCACGCCCAGACACTACTGTTTCAACTGTCGATTAGTTGTCTACGGCCATTGTCAGCGATGGACTTTACTCTAAGGAAACATAGGAAAATTGCATGAATACACTGGCAAGCATTACCAGTGAGCAAATCGAAGTACTAGACTGGCACGGAAACTCTCCAGATTTAAATCCAATCAGGAATTTGTGTTCAATCTGCAAGGAACGACTTCGTGGAATGGACATACAAAGTACTAAGATGTTTCACTGGAAAAATACAAAAAAAAAAGGTAAATAATAACGAAATTATTCATTTTGTTTCAATTTGCACAAGGGTGTAGCTTCATTCAATCTTCTTGATTTTTTTTTAAATTTCTGAAAACTTCTGACAATTTTGCTAATGTTTTTACGACTTTTCAGAACATTCATTTAATACATTCTGTCATCTCAGCTTCTTATCACTTTAGGTCTTCTATAATCTTTTCGTGCCACAAAATCGGTCCCTTAAAATAGGTGGCCAATTCTCTGAATTGTTCACAATGGCATCTAGATATCTTCAAACTTTCAAAGTTTCTGAATATCGGGATAAAACATTAACAAAGGTCAGCAATGAGGCTTTCGATATAAACAGCTGAAAATTAAGCTTATTCGAAGATATTTTAGGAAGAAAAATGACAGTTTCACAGTGTTACAAGATACAGAGATGATAAGTTGCTAATAGTTTGCAACCAAATCAGGATTTAGGCAAAACGCATACAAATGAAACTACGTTTTATTTATTTCTTAATAGATTTTAAGTTTCTCTGAAATTACACGCATGCACACATGCGGACTTTTCAGTGGAGGAGGGTAGGATTTCAAAAAAAGAACATTAAAATAGTTACAAATGACTGAGGAAGAACAGTTAAATGATGTTAATGAACTTGCCTTATTTTTTAATAATCTCCAAACAAACTTATAAAATTAGCACATTTTTATATTATTTTCATATTTTGCCTTTATTTAACAGAACAAAAGATTAATTGTACAAATTACTCGCTTTATTTTTCGGAAGGGCGGATGCATATGTCTTTGTTTAGAACATTACATATATATATATATATATATATATATATATATATATATATATATATAATGTACACTGTTTGTATCAAGTTACTTTAAATAAATTTGAGATTTATATTTATATATATATATATATATATTCACAAGTCTCTCCTTCATTATTTCTCTGTCTCTCTCGGTCTCTCTCTCTCTCTCTCTCTCTCTCTCTCTCTCTCTCTCTCTCTCTGTATGTATGCATACATAGACTATGTATATTTGCGATTTATATATCTATCTGACTATATATACATATATACGAACAGACACATCTCTCTCTCTTTATATATATA